TCTCTCGCTCTTTCTTCCCTCCCCCTCTCCTCTCTCTCTCTATCCCTCTCTTTCTATCCCTCTCCCCACCCTCACTCTCTCTCCCTCTCTCTCGGCTCAGCCTGCAGTTAGAGCTTTGTTAAGTGTTCCAAAAACCTACAATTATATATATCGTCCTCCTTTCTGACAAAAAAAAAACCCGCCTGTGTTGCTCTTTCATCGTGTGTCCCCGAAATATTTCAGATTTATTATTTTTAAGTTGCGTTTGTTTTTGTTCTTGTTCTTGTTCTAGTTTTTTGTTTGTATGGTGTGGGTTTTTTGTGGTTTTTTGTGGATTTTTTGTGGGGGGGTTGGGGGGGGGTGTTCTAGTAGTCTCAGACGTGATTCCTCGTCGTGTAGTAAAGATGACAAATCTTTTAACTCTATTTGTGATCCTGCGCCCATTAATTGCTTGGTCTTCTTACCTATAGTATTTGATATCTTAATCCAATTACCGAAGCGCTCAATTACAAAACATGCGAGTGAAGCTTAACCGTTTGTTTGTTTGTCATCTGTTTGCTTGTTTGTTTGTCTGTTTGTTTGTTAGTTGTTTTTTCTCTCTCCTGACAAATTCCTTTTTGATTTACAAAGACGTTCAGAGAATAACATCGACAGAGGCCTCGACATCGGTTAGGCTATTATCTATCTTGCGTGGTGAGTACATAGTACATTATAAGTGCATGCCTGGATTGCTCTGAGCAAAAAGTGAAAAGGTTAGAGCTACACTACGGCAACGTTGTAGATGGAACTTTTTGACTCGGAAGCAGCCCCCGGGGCGGTGCCACTGATTCAAGTGTCTTTAGGCCATTCCCAAAGGTTGGGGGGGGGGGCATTTCTCGTTCTTGCGCAGTAGAATTGTAAATGGGCTGATTCATCATGTCACGCTCATAACTGTGCCTGATCTACAACAGGGAACTGCTGCTTTTTCTTTCCTAATCCTTACTATTGTCAGTTTTCCTCTACTTCTTTGGTATCGTTGTCACACTCTTGTGACCCGCTATTTCCGGGGTGCCTTGATAGTCGAAACAGACTTTATGCTGTTGAAGCTTGAGAGGTGAGCAAAGTAAGCCTGATTCCCTGTAAAGACTACTCTGTTGACATCCACCCATTGGCGCTCATATAACCTTATGCAGTTGCGAGTGCCGTAAAATCTCTACTAAATAAAATAAATAAATAAATAAAATAACTCGGAAGCAGTCATGTGGTTTTGTTGTCGCAGCTGTCTAAAATTATCTGCACCAGGGCAACATTGTAGATAGAACCTTTTGGCTCTCAGATAGCCATATGGTTTCGTTTTTTGCAATAATGCATATTTTTGCTCTTTCTCTATGTTTCATTGCCTCGTTCGCTGATCTCTGTAGCAGAAAGAGTGTATCGTCTGTTTTGTTTGTTTTATTTTTTCCTCAAGTTGCCGCGTTTTGAAAATATACAATTTTACTTCTTTGTTTGTTGTTGTTGTTGTTTTTTTTGTTGTTTTTGTTCTTATCGTTCCAGTGAAAGTCTTCGCTTCTGTCCAATGCCATGTTGTTTTTAAAGTAGGTTTGCTGCAGCTGCTGTGATGCTCCATAGAGTGTGTTGTCAATGTTAGGCTCTGATATCATAAAGTAACAGCGCTGTAAAATAGGTGATGATCTACAGTCTCATAATTAGGTGCAGTCACGCAAGTGACACTTTGGGGAAAAGCTATGTTAACATAGGTGTTGTTTTTACGCCCCAATCGACGAAATCTAGATTATTTGTAAGCTGGATTTCAGCCCTGCCTGTCAGGGCTAACCCGGGCTGAAAGTAATACATCATCCCAGCAGAAAGACGAAATACTCGATAAAATGTTTCTCCAAACTTAGAAATCGAACTCGGGTCTCCTGCGTACGGCAGCAAGAACCTACCAAAGCATAACCGCTACACCACAGGCACCGGTTCTGCTCTTATATTGTAATACCCGGTGTCCATTGGCAAGATCGGTTCAGATTGGTCGTCGAGACTAGCCAGATTTTCCTCTATAAAGAGAGAAAAGTTAAATCCGTGGCACAAACCGAACGAAACAGACTATGACCTTCAACACAAACGCGTTTGTTTTCAAGGCCGGAGTTGGGCAATCGGTTTGAAGCAGGAGTATATAGTGTGCACTGGAGCCGCCAGAAACTGAACCGAAAAGAATTAGAAAGAACCAAACCGGTCCTGAGTGGGCACCACCTATAACCACTTCAATAACGATAAAAACATGCTTGTCATGACTGTCCCCAGGTAGCAGTGTGAATGGAAGCGGAAGTGTACAATCACAGTCCTGTCTACGACGGAACCTGTTTATGCTGCTCCTGTCTGCTGGTATCGTGGTGGGTTTTGTCATTGGTGTACTGGTCAGGTCAGCACGGCCTGGTGATGACATCGTCATGTGGTTAGGTGCGTTGGGAAGTGTTGTTGTTGCTGTTGTTGCTGGTGTTGCTGTAATTATTGTTGTGTGTGTGTGTGTGTGTATGTGTGTGTATGTGTGTGTATGTGTGTGCAAGTAGGTATGTGTGTGCTTGTGTGCTGCATGTATGTGTTTGTGTGTGTATGTGTAAGAGAAAATGAAAGAAAGGGGGAAAAGAAAGAGAGAGAGAGAGAGAGAGAGAGAGAGAGAGAGAAAGAGAGAGAGAGAGTAAGAAAGAAAGAAAAAGGAGAAGGGAGAATAGAGGGAAAGGAGAGTAAGGAGGAGAAGGAGGAAGAGTTGGGGAGAGAAAAGG